GGGAGGAGACAGCCAGTCAGGTTGTGATGTAGCAATGATGAAACATACAACGTTCCTCCAGTTCCTAAATGCTCCCCACCCCACCCCCGCCCACCCCCCTAGTATCATGATCCCAATTCTACCTTACAAATCTGGCTAGACCAGAGGATGTACACTGGAGAGATGGGAGCTGGAAACATAGGGAGTCCAGGGCAGATGATCCCTTCAAGACCAGTGGTGTGAGTGGCGATACTGGAAAGGTGGAGGGAGGATGGGTTGGAAGGGAACCGATTAGAAGGATCTACATATGACCTCCTCCCTGGGGGACGGACGGCAGAGGAGTGGGTGAAGGGAGATGTTGGACAGTGCAAGATATGACAAAATAATAATTTGCAAATTATCAAGGGTTCGTGGGAGAGGGAGGAGCGGGGAGGGAGGGGAAAAATGAGGAGTTGATGCCAGGTGCTTGGGTGGAGAGCAAATGTTTTGAGAATGATGAGGCCAGTGAATGTACTAATGTGCTTTGCACGATTGATGTATGTATGGATTGTGATAAGAGTTAAATGAGCCCCTAATAAAATGACTTAAAAATTCTTACATTAAGTATGATTCATGATTATATTCATGTAGAATATTTAGAAAAGTGCCAAAAACCTAGAAAATGCTCCATGAAATATTAGTTATTAGAATGTAAACTACTACAAAACTAATTTCAGACCATGGGCTATGATATCATTTGTCCCTTCACTGGAACACATCATTTGTGCAATAGATATGCCTCAGTTTTAATTGTCATCACAAAGTAGTAATAGTACTACCCAGAACCAACATGCCCAAACAAGAATTAACAGAGGCAATACAGACTCTGGCTATTACGATGATAATTGTTGATTAGAAATATGCTATTATATTTTTAGATTATTACTGATGTGAAAACACAGCATGTTCGACAGGCACCTAAGAAAACATATGCAGAGCTCAGTTTCCGTATGTTCTACATAACAAAGGTGCCTGTTTTATGTTAAATTGTGCAATCTGAAAAATTAAAATTTCTAGCAATGCAGCTATTATACAAAACAGTACAGTTCAAGCGCTATACTCATGTAGAGCATATTTTCAATGCTAATACAAGTTGTTTTGTGTTGCTAATTTTTAATAACCCACAGTAGATCAACTGAAATCTCCTTTGCAGCATCAAGATGGGTTTCACAAACCATAATAAGGGAATCAGAAGCTTAAAAACTCCTATCAGCTCACCACTAGCCTCATACATAACGTATAATAAATATCACCTCCATCAGTAAAACAGCTAGCCTACTATGTTTTTGTTTGCTTCAACATTAATTCAAAGTCAGCACATTGCATTCTAACTGCTGTATAAACAGACAATAAAACAAGTACAGCATTTGAAGAGGAAGGGCAAAGAGCATTTGTACTATAAGTCTTTAAAGGGTTCATAATAATTGGATAAAATTTCTACTACTACTTTTTTTCCTGAACATTTCCAAATGCAACTCTTGAATAATCAAACTGAAATATATTCTTAAAAATAATACACACATTATGGGCTGATCTATAGCACCGCAGAAACAGTCCCTAATTATCTCTTTTTTTAGTTTTCACTTCCTCTTTGCATTCCCATTTTAATTTTTTTCACCTGAAATGGTTAGTCTGTGAATAATTTGCAAGTCAGTTACACCTGACCTGATTTCCTTGTCTCCTCACTTAGAAATCAGTCCTATTTTCTTGATACTCAAGTGCACAGGACAATTATAGGTCTCAAGAGACATTATATAGCATTCCCATGTGTTCTGTACAAAATCTCCCTCCTAAACAATCTTCTTTTCTGCTCTCAAATAGATACAAACCTAGTTTTATTTTTGCTGATAGAAAAGTTCAATAAAGTCAATAAAAACATACACTGGTTCTTAAACTCTAATATATAGAAATTTACCATCAGTGAATTCTTGTACAAGCTTGTGATCACCAGCTGAAAGGTTGGCAGCACAAACCCACCCAGAGACAGGCCTGGTGATCTGCCTCTCAAGGTCAGTCTTGGAGAGCCTATGAATCAGTTCACTCTGCATAAAAGGAGACAACCACAATGCCTGCATTATATTAGAAACATGCTTGACTCGAAAATTTCATGGAATTTAAAAGTACATTTTCAGTAGAAGGTAATTCAATATACAAAATGTGGCTGCCCTGGTGGTACTGTCAGTAAAACATTAGACTGCTAAGTACAAGGTCGGTAGGTCCGCACCACCAGCTGCTACAGGGGAGAAAATGGGGCTGTCTGCTCTGGTAAAGATCTGCAAAGCCTTGAAAATCTTATACAGTGTCGATATGACTCAATGACAATGGATTTGGGTTTTGGTTACAATACTTAAATATTATTAAATTGATTCCAACTCCTAACAAACCTAGATAGGGTTTCTAAGGCTACAAATCTTTCCAAGAGCAGACAGCCTCATCTTTTTCCCTCAGAGTAGCTGCTGAGTTTGAACAGCTGACCCTGTGGTTACTGGTCCAAAATTTACCTTATACCAGTGGTTCTCAACCTGTGGGTCAAACGGCCCTTTCACAGGGGTTAAGTAGCAATGAAAATAATTTATGGTTGGGGGGGGGTCACCACAACATGAGGAACTGTATTAAAGGGTCATGGCATTAGGAAGGTAGAGAACCACTGCCTTATACCATATGGCAGTTACATAATCTCCTGTCAACTTGACCAAAGGGGTTGAGTTTAGCCTGTCAATCAGGTCATAGCCGATCATGTCTCTGTGTGGGCATGTGTGGTGGTTTGGGTAGACTAGAGAAACAAATTAATAGACACTCATATATGTGTAAGAAAGAGCTTTATATACAAGAGCAACTGAATATTGAAAAAACATCCCAGCCCAGTCCAGATCAAGTCCATAAGTCTGATATTAGCCCACATGTCCAATACCAATCTATAAAGTCCTCTTCAGACTTGCAAAACACATGCAATGACACTGAATGCAGGAAGATCACAGGCCAGTGAGTGAGAAGTCTTGTGGATCCAGTGGCATCTCAGCACTGGCAGGGGTTGCCACATTGTGGCTCCTTCGGCTCCAGGGCTCTAGCTTAGCTCCACGAGTCTCATCTGCAAGAATGCCTTACAGGAAATAAACGTATGTCCAACCTCTGGTGAGCTGTTTATCTCCTTAGAGCCTCCAAATGAGGTCATCAAGCTGTCACCTGGTTGACAGGCTAAATTCCACCCCTTTACTCTTAAGTTTTAACTTGACAACAGATTATGTAACTACCACAGCATGGCTTTCTCCTGAGGATTCTGGGAACTCCTGTCTTCCTCCATGGGGGCAGGACACGCTCTCTCTGCTTCACATTCCTATTGAGAAGCCACATGGAACTATGCTGATGGAGCCAGAGCCCTGGAGCTGGAGGAGCCATGTGGAGACCCATGCCAGAGCTGAGATGCTTCCACTGCCACTGGATCCATAAAACTTTCCACCCACAGGTCTGTGATCTTACTGCCTTTGGCATCATTCCATGTGTTGTGTGAGTCTGAAAAGGGATTTATAGACTGGTAATGGGCATAAGGGCTAATATAGGACTTATGGACCAGATCTGGACTGGGCTGGGATGTTTTCTTAATATACAATTATTCTTTGACATAAAGCTCTTTCTTATACATATGAGTGTCCCTGGATTAGTTTCTCTAGCCAAATTAGACTAACACGTACCACCACAAAGGTTCTTACTGAATTTGTTAAATTAAATGTTATTATTAAATATATTAAATAAGTAATTTATAAAACTCACTGCTGGCAAGTCGATTCAAACTCACTGCTACCCTAAAAGGCAAAGTAGAACTGACCCAGTGGTTTTCTGAGGCGAGGCCATAATTCTTTACAGAAGTAGACAACCTCATCTTTCTCCCACAAAATAGCTGGCAGGTTTGAACTGCTGACTATGGTTGTTTAGTAGCCAATGCATAACACACTATGCCACCAGAGCTCCTAAATAATTTATAATAGGAACTACTTTGGAATATGTGATGTTCTATTCACATCTGTAAATTTCTACATGAACACAATCTGTCATCTACGTTTATATGACTTTTACTATTTCCATGAGGATATTTCCTGATTCTCTATCCGTAGCTACATGTCTGCTAATGCAAACTCAAAATATCCAGAATTCAATTCATTTTCTTGCCACACTCTGCTATTACTATTTTCTTTATTTCTGATCACAAGACAACAAAATGCTATCACATTATTTAAATCACACAGATTCACAATTCCAGTAACCTTTGTCTCATTCATTCAACAAATAATTATTAAGTATCTACTCGGTGGCAGGTACTGTTCTGGACATCTACGACACCTGAGTGAGGAAAACAAAAATCTCTGCCCTAGTGGAATTAAAATACTTGCATTCTCTTTTGACCCCTGACTTCAATGATCTGGCCCAATCAAATTCACTACCACAACCTCTTTTTTATTTACTTTTTCATACTCGTATTGTCACTGTACTTTTTGCCTGCAATGTTTTAATTAAAACTTTTGGCTCTTTGGGTTTTTTTTAATTTTCATTTCTATAACACATTTTACAAACTGCCGTCAGGTCAATAGTCCCAAAGCATCGCCCCAACTGTCCTAAACAACATCCTGCAAGGAATTCCCCATGGCCACAACTTAAGTCCATATTCCTCTGCTGGTCTCTAAGGCATCCAGTTGTCCAATCTCCCTTTCAGGTCTATGTTCCAAACTGCAGAATGCCACTTTTCAAAACCTGACCTGCAAGTCAAAATGCATTACTAAATATTCATTTTAGGGGCTTTGGTATTTCTTCCATCTTTGCCTTTGTTGATATCTATTATCAACACCTGGGATCTCCCCCACCCCTAACTTTTAAATTTCCAAATCCAAAGTCATGATCAAATTGAAATTCTTTTATCCTTTCCTCTTCCTGGAAGTCATCTCACCCTCCTTTGAAATTCTGTGGTATTTTATTTGAAACAGGAGGGTTTAACTCAAAGCATTGCTACAAAAATCCCAGAAACACTTTTTTTAAATCCAAATGTGCAATTGCTGTTTCTGGACATACCCTTCATGTAGGTCTATATCCTTTCCTAAGGAATTGTACGCTCTTCAACTTACACAACAAAATAGCAGTTTGGGCATGCCTGAGGGACCCATAATGTGTTCCTTTTCAATGTTCTTCGTTTGAAGAACAGAAAGAAGTCTGAAGGGGAAGAACAAGGCTATATAGGATGGATGGGATACAATTAATTTCCCAACAAAATCTAGGAGTTTGGGCTACTCTCAGTGAATGAACAGGCTTTTCTACTTCATGAAGGAAAAAAATTCCTGAACTTTTTCCCCTACCAATTTAGCTTTCAATTTTCTTAAGACATCTTCCTAGTAAACCCTCATGATCAATCATACTGCATCCTCTGAGAAGCTCTATCAAGATGACTCCTTGGGGATTGGAAAAAAAAAAAGTCGCCATAACTTCTGGGCTGACTGACCTCTCTGCCTTGAATTTAGCCGACTCGGCAGAGCCCCTCAGAAGTTACTCTTTTGTTTGAACTTTGCTATGTGGTTCATATTGGTAATTTTATGGCATCACTGATAACAATTTGTTCTAAATCATCTTCAATCTTGCTTAAAAGACTGATGGAAAAATCAGCTTTTCAAGCTAGCTGATCTTCACACAGTGCTTTTGATACCTATTCAATACCAAGCTTGCTGAAGCCAATATGTTCATTTAAAATGGAAAATTATGAACTTTAGCAGCGTAATTATATAATCTTTGTTCACTACTTTCCACACTTCACTCACAGGTTCTTCACATGTGAAGGTTGGCGGTCTTCCCTGTCTCATTTAGTATTGTTTGAACCCTCTTGTTTCTAATATCCATTGCAATGGCTACACAGAAACCACAGACAAGATTCATGACTAAAGGGTTTATTAAGGAGGTTGAAAGGTTGTAATCCCAGTGAGAAATGCTCAGGATAGTTGTTTATCAAGACAAGGTACAAAGTTCTTTCAGGTCTGCTAATAAATTCCCAAAGAAACACACCACTCCTCCTCTGGAAGCCTTAACCGGACAGCATTCAGCTGCGTCAGCAAACCCAGATCCCTGAATTAAGTGCCCAGAGGCACCCCACCCCAATAGGCCTCAGCCCAAAGGCACTCAGCCTCCATTTTTGTAAGTTAGCAAGTCCAGCTTCCTCAATTATGTGCCCAGTGGCACCCTATTCCTAAAGCCTAGCCCTCAAAGTGAGGCAGCAGCAGTAGGCTTGCCAACCCACAGAGCAAGTGAGCTGAACACACAGCTGTGGGCAGGAAGCTCCCTGAGAGAGTGGGGTGCCTCCAAGCACTAGTCAGAAATAAAGCGCTGTAACAATTGTTCATGGAGGCCGAGAGGAGGGTAGCCAGGTCTAGAAGCATGGCCTGCCTGCAGGCACAGCCAAGGAGCTGAGTGAGAACTGTCTTGGATGGAAGCTTGACTGACTATATTGTATTCTGCCACTTCCAAGTTGGTTCTAATCCTGAATTATATCCTGTTACAGTCCTGATGGTGTAATGATTTAACACTCAGCTACCAACTCAGAGACAGGTGGTTTGAACCCATCAGCAGCTAGCTCCAGAGAAGAAAAGACCTAGTGATCTGTGCCTCGTGATCTGTACCTACACAAATTACAGCTTAGGAAACCCAGTGAAACAGCTCTACTCTGTAATATATGGTTCCTTAAACCTCAACCTTTAAGCTCATGGGTCATCAAACCTAAATTCCTGAATTAAGTGCTCAGAGGCACCTCATTCCAGTAAGCTTCATCTAGAAGGCACAAAGTTACAGTGCTGTGGGTCAGCAAGCCCAACTTCCTGAATTAAGTGCCCAGAGGTACCCCACTCCAGTAAGCCTCAGTCCAAGGGCACTCTGCTCCACTGCTGTGGATTAGCAAATCCAACTTCCCCAATTTAGTGCCCAGAGCCACCAA